AGGATTACCACACCAAACCAGCAAAAGTGGCTAGTCAAGTTGATGGGATATAACTACAGTATATCCTACAAGAGTGGAAAGGAGAACATTGTTGCAGATGCTCTATCTAGGAAGGAAGAAGCTATGCAATGTGTAGCATTTCTACGATACATATGGACCTACTGGAGGAAGTAAAACAATCATGGCAACATGATGCTACTCTACAGAGGTTAATGGAGAACTTGCAGACTACAACAACAGTCAAACCTTATTATAAGTTTCAAGCTGGAATCTTAAGTAGAAAAGGAAAAATAATGGTGGGAAACAATGAAGAGTTGAAGACCAAATTGATAGCCTTTTATCATAACAGCTCAATTGGAGGGCATTCTGGGATTACTGCTTCTTTGAACAGATTGAAGCAAGACTTTTACTGGAAAAAAATGAAGCATGTTGTTTACTCCTATGTAAAGGAGTGTGACACTTGTCAAAGGTGTAAGAATGAGAATGTGGCTTACCCAGGGCTGCTACAACCCTTAACTATCCCTAAGAAAGTATGGCAAGATGTATCTATGGATTTCATTGAAGGATTGCCAAAGGCCCATGGTAAGGAGGTCATTTTTGTAGTAGTTGACAGGCTGAGCAAAGCTGCTCATTTTATGGCACTAAAGAATCCTTATACTGCTTTAGAAGTGGCTCAGATTTTCATGGATAATGTCTTCAAACTCCATGGGATGCCTAAGACTATAGTCTCGGACAGGGATGTGGTCTTTACTAGCAAGTTTTGGAAAGAGTTGTTCAAGTTGCAGAAGGTTTCTTTACTTACATCAACTGCTTACCACCCTCAGACTGATGGCCAAACTGAGGTGGTCAACAGATGCTTGGAATGTTATCTTAGGTGCATGACCTTTGATTGACCAAAGGAATGGCCTAAGTGGTTGTCTTTAGCAGAATGGTGGTTCAACACTACTTATCATTCAGCTATTAAAATGATACCTTATGAGGTGGTGTATGGGAAGAAACCACCACCCTTGTTGCCTTACATGCCTTTTGACTCCCAATTGGATGCAGTTGACAAAAGTTTACAAGCAAGGGAAGCCACCATTCGAGCTGTGAAATCTCATTTGCTGAGAGCTCAAAACAGGATGAAAGCTCAGGCTGACAAAGGCAGAACTGATAGAGTTTATGCAGTGGGTGACTGGGTCTATGTTAAGCTACAACCATACAAACAACTGTCCTTGAAGAGCCACTCTTTTCAGAAGTTATCAGCTAAGTACTTTGGTCCCTTTCAGATAATCAGAAGGGTGGGACAAGTTGCATATACTTTGGCTTTGCCTCCTCAGTCCAAAATCCACCCTACATTTCATGTCTCTCAGCTCAAGAAGAAGCTGGGCACTCATACTGCTTCCCCTACTCTTCCAGTCGTTCATGCTGAACATGGCCATATCCTACTCACCCCAGAGGCAATCCTAGACAGGAGACTAGCGCCAAAAAATGGTAAAGCCACAACACAAGTCCTAGTTAAGTGGTTGAATGCTGCTGCTGAAGACAGTACCTGGGAAGATTGGCAAGAGTTCCATCCCAAATTTCCTTCTTTTAATCCTTGAGGACAAGGATTATTTCAAGGGGAGGGTAGTGTTACGATCAGAATAAAATAGGGAATAATACACAGTCACGTGAGAGGCACGTGAGCTGCTGTTAGCTCAGTTAGTTGGTTTCCGGAAGTTAGTTACGGGTAGTTAGTTTGTTAAGAGTTAGTTACAGCTAGTACAGCTGGATTTCTTTCATATAAGCTGAGTCACAGCATTTGTAAGCGTTCATTCCATTGTAATCGAATCTGAGCAAATCATTCTTCTCTCTAAATTCTCCGAATACTCTCTTCCCTAAGTCATGTGTTCAAGAGCAATTTTCTCTATTTGCTCTTTGGGATACTTAGATTTTCCTTCAGATTTTCGAGCTGATATCAGATTAAGGTTCGACTTATATACGTTCCCTTGAAAGTATTCATGAAACATTCAAACTTAAAATTTTATATAGACAAAAGAGAGTAATTAAAACACTAAACGATATCTATCACACAAAAAAATGGAATCAATATGTCTATTAAATTGGTGAAAGGATTGTTCTCCTCAGATTTTAAATGAACTTACGTTACCATTTAGAGTAAAATATAATATATCCCCAAGTTCGGATTAATTATCCCAGCATTAAATAATCCCAAATGGAACTCAGATAATGATCAATTGCACCATCAAGTTGAATTTCTACTTATATTGGGACTCTATAAACACAATTTCATCATTCTTAGATCATCATCAATGGTAATGTCACATTAACTTGCTAATGCTAAAATAAACATAAGCACACAATATTTAGCTTCTAAATTAGTTATTGTAGTATTCTAGCAATCAAGATACACTATGGTATTTTCGACACAATTGAACCCCTTAAAATACACTATGGTATAGAATTGGTAATTTAGTATACTAAATGTAATTATATTAAACCTTAAACATTGAGGGTAATAAGGTTTCTTATATGGTATAGGAATGTAAAAATTCCTTTATAATACATGAATTAGTAATATAGAGATTAATAATAGAAATTTTTATCTCCAGTAGTAAAGGTTGATACCTTATTTATTTTAAATAAATAAAAAATTATATTTCATAGCTACCTTTTAATTTTTATAGCCAAATATCTATTTATGGTCACCTCCTACCATTAAGCCATAAATACACTTTGTTTTATTTTTCTCTCTCATTCGTTCAGATTTTTCTCTACCCTCTCTCTCAACGCCAGTTTTTCTCCATGAATACAACCTCAATTTCCTCTTTGTAATCATCACCATCATCGTCGTGTAAAAAATTAGAAGCAACGTTGAAATCCCTGAATAGACTTTGTTCCAATTTCAAAACAACTACTATGAATTATTGCTGCTACGAAGCCAACAGATTATTGCTTGAATCTCTGAAATAGCTTTATAGCCGGAATCTCATCAACTACGGATTATTTGCAGTAACTTGCTCCGACGACTGTGTTGGAAATGGCGGAGAGAGAAAAGAAGCGACGACGAGACGACATTATGTTATTCTTGAACAAAGACGACGGAGTTTGGGGCTGAGCAACTTTTAGAGTCTGTTACCTTTTTTTCATTATATTTCAATGTATCTCGTTGTATTTTATGTATTTCATTGTATTCATTGTCTTTTTTTCCACTGTATTTTAATATATCTCACTGTATTCCATGTATTTCATTGTGTTCTCTGTCTCGCTATATTCTATGAATGTATTAATATGTTTTTTTTAATTAATATAATTATGTATTCAGATTTCGGTTGAGAATCTTTTTTATAACTGGAAATACAAAATTTGTGTGTTATAATTGAGTTTGTTGAGTTATATTAGGAGTCTATTATGTTAATTGATTCACTTTCCGTTTAAAAACTGTGTAATCCCCTGTTTCACGCCGTGAATACAGTCGAATACACCCGAATACAATAATCTGTCCAGCTGTAATCCCTTGTTTCACGCCTAGAAATGCTACAGTAATCATGAATACAGTAGCTTAAATACATCGAATACAGTCTAAAAAATCTGAAAACATAGTTATAGAAAGTAATATAATAAATGGTAACTACAACTAGCTAATAACCACTAAAACATAGTGGTTTCTGAAAGTTTCTCTTAATAATACGTGGTTTAATAGTCATGAATTACTTCATGTTGGGTGTTTGTTTCATTGCATTAAAATTGGTAATGGAAATGTCATCTAAATTATTTGTTTATTTTTTAAATTAAAAAATAATAAATTTACAATATACTCTTGGATATTTGGTCTTTCCAGTTTTTTAGAAAACGTCAAAAGGTATTTTTATTCTTGGTAGGTAAAAAAATTTCTTTACCAAGTATGAAATATGTACAAGGGGAGATGTGTCAATGATGGCCACTTTTGCTTTAAAATTATCTTCTTCAGGCCCTATACATGTGAATGGAATTGTGACACACGGCATCAACTGCTGCATTAAATTGCTACAATATAGATATCTTCTTCGGCTTATTTGGTTTTATTATTTAAAGTGACAAGAAATTGCTATTGTTAGACTGGGTCATGTGTTAGATTTTATAAGGATTTAGTTTATATACACTAAACTTTTACATATTAGTATGTTTTTTCAGTTGTAGCCAGTAATTTGTTTGATATTTCAGGTTATTAATTAGTTCTGCTTTTTATGATCGATTACATTATAGTAGTGTGGAGATGAAGTATTCAGGGGCGGACCTAGAGCATAGGTTATGGGTTCCCGCAAACCCAGTAATTTTTGCGTAGATCATGTATTTATATTAAGAAATTCATTAAATATTCGTAAATATCTAACTGTGAACCCAGTTATTATTATTACATATTAATCTAATATTACGGTGGAACCCATAAATCTCAAATCCTGGATCCGAATGTGGAAGTATTAAACTGACATTAAAGAGAAATTAGTTAAAGGCTACTTTCAGTAATGATATTAGAGAAAACATTTATACCATCCTTTTTCCCTTTTGGAGAAACTACATATATTACTTTTGACGAACTTAAGAAAAGTTCGAATTATCTTACGTGTACTAGAGTTGGGAAAGAAAATATAGGAAATGTTTTTCGTTAATCCAGATTAATGAATATATAGCTCGTTCGAAACAGAGTGGAATTTCCCGCTATGCGCGGAGTTTGGAAAAGGGTCGGACCACAAGGGGATATCGTACGCAGTCTTACTCTGCATTTCTGCAGGAGGCTATTTTTCACGGTTTGAATCTGTGACCTCCTGGTCACATGCAGCAACTTTACTGTTGCGCCAAGCCTCCAGTGGCGAAGCCACATGGTCATAAGGTGGTCAACTGACCACCATTCGTCGAAAAATTGCACGGTGTATACAGGTAAAAAATATTACGTTTTAGATGTATATAGCACATATTGAAAATCCTTTGTCAGAATTTTTTTTCACTTTTTTAAATTTGAACATCCTTAGAGAAATTACTAGCTTCGCCACCGCAAGCCTCCCCTTCAACTTATCTGTAATTTCATTTACACGCAATTTAACTAACACACAAAATCTCAAATCAAACAATTTTTACATGGTATAACAAGTGGTAATTAAAACACACAACTGATAATTCTCATAGTATTGAAACAATATGTAACAGAAAAAATAAGACTTTCACTTCAGAGCTGCCCTTCAATCCTTGCATTTGTAAGTCCAACACACGCATCAACAAAATCTTCATCAATAAAATCAGTAGAATATATCTGTAACCGATCACCATAACCTCTAGAAATACATTCAGTTATAAACAACCTTGAATATGGATGAATCCGGTTCGTCACCGGTTTAACACACACAACCGGATTATCCGCCTGAGGCGTCACCGTATTCTCCACCCTATAAAAATATTTCCGAGATGTTACCGGCGGTTGTTCACTCAAATGCTTCATATTACTCTCAAATTTTGTTTCAGGTAAATCAGTGTCAATCCAATTATCTTTTAAATACCCTGCACTCCATAATGGACTACCATGTTTTGGCTGTGGAGATTTTCTTGGTTTCCATACGCAAATTACTCTTTTGGGCAATAATTCAGCTACTGTTTTTTGAAAAACAGAGTCATCTTGGTGGATTAAATACTCCCCTAGCTGATCTTCTAAGTATTTATCGAATTCCGGTGGATCTTCGTGTCCGAACTCTGTTCGGATCTCAAGGATTATGATCTCTGATTCTGTCTCCGACAGAAATTTTTTGACGTCGTTAATCACAACATCAACGTTGTAAGAAAGAAGGATGCCATGACACACACGGCGATCTTCTTGAACTCGAATATCAAGAACTCGAGTGCCCATTACCTGTTAAAAACATAATTAAGTAAATAAAAATATACTCTTTTTAATAATATAAGTTTTTAGATGAGGTGATTACACAATTTAATATGGTATCAGGACAGAGACAGAAATATTACCAGCTGTTTGTAAATGGATAGAGATTGGGTTCGAGCGAAGGGGCGAGAAATAAATGGAATCCCAATTTTGTTAGTTGCAGAATCATGGGTACCAGGCCAAATTATCTTGTTCAGGTGGAGTTTTCCCGGGGCAAGTGTTGACATCCAATTTTTTCTGTCTTCCACGCGATAATCTGCACCAGGGAAATCAGTGCTATTTTTTTCCTTGAGATCATATAAAAGTTTTTTCTGAGTGCGAATTGCTTTTCTTCGTTCCACCTGTTTAGAGAAAAAAGTACCCATTTTCACAAGAAGAAGAAGAAGCAAGTCACTTCTCCTTTTCTTCTCTCTAGGTTTTGTAGTTGAACAGGATTAAGTTTTTGCGTTTAATATATATGCATTATAACGCCTTTTTTGTCAATACAGAGTAGAAAGTTTCTTCAATTATGACAAATAAAGAAATTTCCTTTTCAATATTTTAATACGCATGTATTGTCTTGACATATTTTCCATGTGGATTGGTCCAGTTGTCTTAGCTTGAGGGGCCGGCTCCGTTGGAATTATTGGTAGAGACTAAGGGAAGTCACAAAATATATATATATATATATATATATTCCCACTGGAGTCCGACTATATTCGGATTCGTACCATGCATGTAGGGCACTATTTTGGACGGAAGCGCTCTCTACCAAGGATTATTCTATACTCATGGCTCGAATTTGTGCATCAGATTAAGGAAAGAGCAGGCCATCCGGTGCACCACATCTTTTGATGGTTATCTTAAATTATACTAGTCCAGCGTGCAGCAGTTGTTTCTCCATTTTTATATTATTGGCTCTGATTTTAGTTTATTTCATTTTTAATTCTTCTTTCTTGTGCATGTTCATAGGTTCGGCTGGCCATGAGGGACGGAGTATATTGGAAAATCATGTCGCGCTACTAACTGCATAATTTTTTTTTTGTTTATATGAATTATTGAATTTCCTGACATAAAAAAAATGTTTTAACTTAATGATAAAAGAATTTAAATATTACCTTAGATATATCAAAAGTTCAAAGCAAAGGTGTGAAATGGATGAAATCGTTGAATCTGATAATTATCCAAGAGGTTGCAACTAATTCAACAACCACGATAACAATACTTAATGATGTATTATTCTAAGCCTCGAGTGCAATTCCTGTATAATTTAAATTAATGTATTAAAACGTGCAGCAGGTGGAAAAGGTCTATCACTTAAAAAGATAGAAGTGTATATAAAAAATAAAATGATCGTTGACCCATAGCAGCTTCTTAATTATATGTTGAGATATACCAGTTCAGCGAGATTCAGAAAATCAATGGGATATGTGAGTCACATCATTTTATGTAACTAAGGGCTCGTTTGGTACGAGGGATAAGGAATAATTAATTTCGAGACTAAATTTAAGAAGCGCTTATCCCATGTTTGGTTGGGAGAAAATTGCGGTATAATTAATCCCCGGATTGTAGTATTTTTTTTAATCCCCATGGAACGGTAGAATAACTAATCACGGGATAACTTTTTTCCAACCAAACGATTCCTAAATGTCTTGTACTATTTTTCTTAACACTTTTCATTTGAAATGTAAGTTTAAGCCATCAATATTAGAGTGACTATTATGCTTTAAGAATCATCAAAGGTTAACACAATTTTTTTTCTTTTCAATTCTCATCATTTTGCAATCTCAATTTTTTAAAATAATACTTATATGTTTCAGTGGTTAGAATGTAAAATATGCAATTGAAGGTTACATCAAGTTTAAGAAAATCATAAAGATATGTTTACTTTACCCGAGAGGACTTTTACATCCTTCACTTGGCACATCAGCTTTACAATAATAAATTTTTATTATAAAATATTTAAATTTTTAAGAAAAAATTAACATATAACCTATTCCTTTTAAAATTGCTGCCCCTCAAAATTAGGGACCTAAGGTATATGTCTTACTTGCCTGGCCTATGTCTAAATAACTTGATCATGGGACCATCTTGAACTTGCACCTTCCCTAACGTATGCATGTTTCGGTATTTGATTACACAATATTACTAAACTTTATCCTTGTGTCACTAATTAATATCATAAAATTATTTTTTTGTATCATTAAGATCACTTAAATTTTCCCTTTGAATAAGTAAAGTCACTAAATTATTTTTTGTATTATTAATCACTAAATGAAAATATTTGGATTCAAAAAAAGATTGAGGAATTTCTAAATAGAAACCCTAGAACACATACACACGGATATTAAAGAGGGAAAGTAGAGAGTAAATATCCGATAGATTTTATTAATACTGAACTTAATCTATTAGTTATCTCCACAAAATAAAATGATGGGGTATTATCACTTTTAATCCGCACCAGAAACTATTTATATTTGGTAGCCGAAAAAGTATATAAAATTTATATAATTTTTGTATATAATATACAAATTTCATATATTTTTCGACAATTATTTTTACAGCGATTATACAGCATCATTTTTCCTAAAATGATCCACTATCTCTATGGTCAAGAGGCTTCAGATGATATCTAACACGCTGGGCTTTATTCGGCCTATGTAACATATTGGGCTGCTATTTTCATTCCTATACCAAATTTCATACTATATTATCAAAAATGTTCATAATACCTATATTACACCCCTGGTCCATATTTTTATTTCATTCTATGTACCAAATCAGCCCCACCCGCCAATCACCCCAAAAAGGGAGGAATATATCTAGCTTTTGTGTTGGTTAAAGTGGAAACATGGGGTAGTTGGGGTAGGCTTTAATTATGGATATCTATCTATCTATCTATAATTAAAAGCTAAGGATAAAAGCCTCTTAGGAAGCCAAGTGGAATAATAATAAATTGACACTTGGCATGACAGGAATTTCTCCAACATATTAGGAATTATACTAACAAACTACAATCTAACTTACATTAGGTATTTTCTGTAGAAGTTATTTAGTCAAATTTTGTTGCAAAATTCTTCCAAAACTCCCGCTAAACATTATCTTATACTCTATTAATTTAAATTTTTTTAAAATCATTAAATGAACGTGGGTAAAAGAAACAAACCGTGTAAACTTAATTTTTTTTCAAAATTATTCCATAACCGCCGCTCAAGATTCCCTTCGAATTTATTAATTAAATTTTTTTTAAAAGCATTAATTGAACGTGGGTAAAAGAAACAAACCGTTCAAACTTCCCTTAATATATCTAAATTATATTTATTTTATTTTAAAACAAATTTTACCTTCAATTAACCCTAAATTCTCTCTGCAAACTCACGTATTGTCTCTGCAAAGTCACGTTAGGCTGAACTGTCTAACCCACGATTTACTTTACTGGGTAGCAACTGCTCAAACCTCAAAATATATATTTCTTCCACACCTACAACTGCTTCAATTCTAATGTTCGTTCTTATACCAAGATTTCAACAAAACTTACGAATTAGCAATAACATGGCCGCTAACAATGATTTCATCAAGGATATAACTATTTCAAAGATGAAATGGAAGTTGAAAGTTCGCGTTGTCCGTATGTAGGAAAAATCGGATCGTTTTAATCCTGGCTCTATATTCTCCATTGAATTGGTTCTACAAGATGAAAAGGTATTTTTATTATGTTATTGCCTTACTAATTTGTTTGTGCTGTTCGAAAATTAAATGTCAATATACATAGATTTGTTTTGCTATTCCAGATTGTTATCCTTTGTGCTCTTCGAAATTTAGATGTCAAAATCTATAGATTTGTTTTGCTCTTCCATACTGTTATTCTGTGTATTTTGTTTAGTTCTAACTGTGAAACAATTATGATTTAGCATGTTGTAAAAGAAGGTATGATTTAGCATGTTGTCGATGCTGTTCACTTTATATAATAAAAGGTATTTTTATTATGTTATTGCCTTGCTAATTGGTTTGTGCTCTTCGAAAATTAAATGTCAATATCCATAGATATGTTTTGCTCTTCCAGATTGTTATCCTTTGTACTCTTCGAAATTTAAATGTCAATATCTATAGATTTCTTTGTGCGCATGAAGCAAGATTCTGCTCTATTCTGCACGAAATAGAGGCCACGAAGCTTCTGTAAAATCTAAGTTTCATCGACTTGCTCTTGCTTTCTCAAGTGGCAAGGTCCAGAAATTTGCCTCGCCTTTTCTCTTGGAATCAATACCAAACTCCATCAAATTCACTTTCAGAAACTGATAGGGTAGTCGCTGTAAAAATCTCCTATCATATAAGATAGGCCATATTTTATCATACAGACATATCGAACCAGACAATATTGACAATGAAGAAGCTCTTAAGAAAATCAGCACCAGAGACCACTGAATTCTCTTTCTTTTTTTCCTTGAAGCATCAGCTATCCGAAACCCAAACTTAGATAAACAGAAACCATCACATGAAAAAGGCTTTCATTGGTACAATTCCATGGAAACTCAACTAGGTATTTTAAATATATAATAAACTTACCATCTTTTATGTATTGTAATTTCTTTGTAGGGTGATCGTATACATGCTTCTATTGGGAAGTCTGTTTTGCATATTTTCAACAAAAAAATTAATGAGCTTGGATTATATCTTATGGCGAACTTTATCGTCTGCCAAAACAAGGAGAGGTTCAACACCACAAAACATAGATTGATGCTGACGTTTACTCAACGTACAACAGTGGCTGAAACAATTGATCCACTTTTTCCGATGAATATCTTTGATCTGCGACCATATCATCAATTGATAAATAAAGTTGATGTCAACGAGAGTGAATTATTTGGTAATATTTGTGTTTATTTTAATTTATTTTTACATATTTTTTTTAATAGATTGATGGTACTTATTTTAACATCTTCATATTTCTTTAGATGTTATCGGAGAGATTGTCAATTTTAGTGAGGTCCAATCGCAAAAACAAGGTGAAATTACTAGGAAGTATATGGATATCGAACTAGAAGATGATGAGTAAGAATAAACAGACAACCATCGGTTAATGATATATTTCATAAATACATATATTAAATATTATACACTATTTCTATTTGACAGGAGGAACAAGTTATCTGCTACATTCTGGGGTGAATTTGTTGATCAAGTTATACCTCACCTTTTAAGTTCTAACAACCAGCCTATTATTGTTGTTATGCAGCTCATAAAAGCCCATAAATTTCAAGGTAACATGCAACTATTAAATTTCACATTACTTTTTGAAAGTTATTCATCACATGTTACACATAATTCTTTTTTTGCAGATTCATATTCTGTGCGCAACACTTGGAATACATCAAAGTTGTGGATTAATCCTACTTTTCCTCAATCCGAAGAGTTTAAAACCCGGTTAAATATATTTTAATCATGTATCTACACTCATATCGATCTTTTG